AAGGCAATATGTTTACAATGTTCTGCCCATCTAGTCACTGGCAACAAGAATGGAACAAGTCATTTGTGTTATCACATACGTGTTTGCCCAGAGCTTCAAAAGTCAAAGAAAAAGAGAACTACTTCAAAGGCAGAATTTCCTGTTTTTGATCAGCAAAGAAGTCGTGATGACTTTTGCTCGAATGGTTGTTTGCCATAATTATCCATTTTGTATGTCTGAGTATTATTACACAAGGCAATTCATTTATAATCTGCAACCTCAATTTAAGATAATGCATAGAACTGCTGTGAAAGATGATATCATTAAGTTATATAAGGAGGGAAAAAGGAAGATATATGAAATATTGGATAAAAATCAGAGCCTGAATGAGTGAAATGACAGGCTATATGAGCATGACAGTACATTACATTGATGCTCATTGGAAATTGCACAAAAAAAATTTTGGGCTTGTGCATGTCAAAACCCCACACACTGGTGTTGTCATTTCTAAGGCAATCATGGCTAGATTGTATGAATGGAATTTGGATAGAAAACTCTTTAGCTTTGTTCTTGATAATTGCTCAGTCAATGATGTAGTGATTCGGGAAATACTTGGTATCCTTTTACCCAAGCAAGCATTACATTTAAAAGGTGAATTCTTTCAAATCCGATGTGCAATGCATATATTGAACTTAATAGTTTAGGATGGATTGAAAGTAATTGCCCCCATTCTGGTAAATATTCGAGAGACAATTAGTTATATCAACAAATCCACGTCAAGATTGGAAAAGTTTGAATTGATTACCCAACAAGTGAATGCTCCCAAGTTATCTTTAGAAACTGATACTCCAACCAGATGGAATTCAACTTTTCACATGCTTGAGAGAACCATTAAATTCCGTGAAGCTTTTCTGTGATTGAAAGAATGTGACAAGTTTTTCCCATCAGATGAGGACTGGGTACATGTTACTAAAGTAACAGATTGTTTGCGTGTCATTTATGAAGCAACTCTGAGGGCTTCTGGCTCAAAATTTTCCACAGCAAGTCTTTACTTCAATGATTTTTGTGGAATATATATTTTTCTGCAAGAATTGAAGTTGAGTGATGATAACTTTATTGCTTCAATGGCTGTGCCAATGGCAGAAAAAATTGAGAAATATTGGGAGACATGCAACAAGTTATTATCTATTGCAACCATTCTTGATCCTCGCTACAAATTGAAGTCTATTGAGTACTTCTATGGATTGCTTTATCCTTCTGAAAAAGATGTGAAATTTGAACATATGAGGAGATGCTTTAGTGAATTATTTGATGAGTATTCAAAGCAAGCAACAATGCAATCCTCATCAGTTGTCGACACTTCAAGAAATTTCCAGGAGTGCAGTTCACAATCACATGAGTCCTCGTTGAGCTTATTTTCTACCATAGTAGGATTAGAAAAGTATATCCAAGATAGCAACTCAAGCCAGCAAACAAGATCAGAGCTCGATGTCTATCTTGATGATCCTCCACATCCTGGAATCAGTGATACTTCTTTTGACATCTTGGCTTGGTGGAAGTTGTATGGTTCCAAATATCCAATTATTTCTCGAATGGCTCATGATATCTTAAGTGTTCCTATGTCAACAGTAGCATCTGAATCATGCTTCAGTTTAGCTAATCAAGCACTTTGTGAGAAGAGGTGCAGTCTACTGCCTGAAACACTTGAAGGTGTGATTTGTACACAGGATTAGCTGAGGGATTATATACCAGGTACAGATCTCCAATAAAAGAGTAAAATATTGTATTGCAATTTTGATGAATTTGCTAATCACTTTTTTTTTCTGGAGCAGATGAGTTTTTGGAACAGATGATAGCAGAAGATGTGTCATGTACTCAAGAACAAGCAGTTGTAGATCAACTTGAATGAAGATGTGCTGTGATGATTGAGGCACTTGGATCAGTTGCCAATTACTAGTGACCTACCTAGCACATTGTATCAACTAGTCGAATATTTCAAACTCAGTACTTTTCACGGTCTAGTTTCATTTTTAACTCACTTAATCAGCTAGTAGCAGAAAGCATATGTACTCCTGTTATTAACAGCTTTGTTGTACCTTAAATTGTGGGGTTTCATATCTAATTTTCCTTTTAAATGATATGGCTATTACCCAACTCTCTTTATCCACACCTATCAGTTTTATCCATTCCCCAACGGGTATGGGTAATTTAGATGACAATGAATATGGGGAGGGTAAGAACGACTAAGGTTTGAAGTGGGTGAGGGTATGGGTAAGCATGGGGATCCCCGAACCCTCCCCAACGGCAGGTGTTTGAGGTCTTTGGATGACTGGAGGTTGAAGAAAGCGTGAAATTGTGTCGACGAACGCAGTTGGGCCAGGCTCACTTAGAGCAGATACAATAGCAGACTATTAGCCAGCTATAAACATATTTTAATAAGATAAAAGATGATATAGAAAAGCAGCGGGCTACAGATCTGTAGCCAGCTGCAGCATGAACTCCAAGACATAATGTGTGTATAACAGATGAGACCATACATTAATATTATAGTAAGCAACTATTGTATGAGTTGGCTATTAGATTGGCTATAGATGAATTGGAGCTAGTAGTGGGCTATACTATTAAACTTGCTCTTAGAAAAGGAATTCCCTTAGAAATTAGGCTACAGGCCCACATGCCACATCTAGCCCCCAGCGGCCCAGCCCAAGTGGCCAAATACCTAATTCCCCAATCCCCCAGCCCCAAATCCCCTAGCAGAAGGCAGTGAGCTCCCCGTGCGGCGGCGCCGGCGAGGCAGCAGGCAGAAGCGCGCGGCGCGGCGGCGGGCGGCGGCAGCAGGCAGCAGGCGAAGCGCGCGGCGCTGCGAGCGCGAGCAGCCGCAGGCCAGTGGCGGCGGAGGCTGCAGGCCGGCGCCGGCGACGCCACGGCAGCATGTGAAGGACCAGGCGAGCAGCAGGCAGCCCCTTAGCCCGACGGCTGCAAAATACAAGGTATGCAATGTTTTGTCTCATACTCTCATGTACAGATTTTGCCTCGTGAAAGATAATCCGCGTCGCACGTGAGAAAATAATCAATTGTCTTGTGAATGAAGTTGTGATGTACTGATATTTCTCATTATCTCTCTGTTTCCATATGAAACTTCTTTTAGGGTGTGTTTGAGGAGAAGGGGATTGAGGAGGTTGGAAAGATACGCAAAACGAGGTGAGCCATTAGCACATGATTAATTGAGTATTAATTATTTTAAACTTCAAAAATGGATTAATATGATTTTTTAAAGCAACTTTCCTATAGAAATTTTTTGCAAAAAACACACCGTTTAGTAGTTTGGGAAGCGTACGCGCGGAAAATGAAACAATCTTTTTCCCTTTCTCCTACGCTCGAACGCAGCCTTAGAGTACAACGTAATATTATGCTATTGTAATATTGTTTGAGACGTTATGTGCTTATGCCGGTGTTCCCAGTATGTTGAGCCCCCCCCCCACCCCCAATTTTTCATTCCTGGATCCACCACTGTTGGATCCAGTATGTTGAGCTGCCACTGTTGGATCCGAGGAGACTCCCGTCCGCTGCTGCTGGTGAGCTCCCCGATTTGGGGACTTCGCGAACCCTTGTTTGTTCGTTTGTTTGGCCATGGCGATGTTGGATGGCTTTAGGTTGACTATGAATTTTTGGAGTTTGCGGTTGCCAAGAGGGGAAAAAAATGGTTTGTTTCATCATTTAGGCTATTTTGTAGATGAGGGAATTGGCAGTTCTCTGCCTATTTTTCGCTATTGTACAGTTTTTATAGCCTGTTTGAGTTTCTGAATCTCTGGTCTTGCCATCGTCAAGGGGGCAGGTGGCTTGTTGAGTCAGTGTATGTAGTCCATGCGGGCACCAACTGTTCGATGGATTGCCCCTTAGGCAGGAAATGGCAGTGACTGTAGAATGCATGTGCTTGGTGAACTGCCAGCCTTGCATTGCTTCCCTGAGAAGGCTATTCGTTCGTTCCCCCTGTATCCTGAGGATGTGCTGGCTGTGCTGGCCAATGGCCACAAGAAGCAGGTTTAGTTCAGCCTTTCAATCCAGAAATTTTCTTCGTGATATGGTGCTTGATAGGCTAGTGGAAGAGGCCTCAGGGGGCAACTTTTATAATCTTCACAACCCAATATGTTGATGTATAGTCTTTACCTTTACATGCATATTTGATTTTTTTTTCTAGAAATTTTGTCTCAATCAAACTTGAAATTTCTTGCTACTCAGTTTTCTAATTTTGCTTGCTCCAATCAAGTAAGTTTTTTCCAATAAGTTTTCTGTGTTTGAAGTTATAATATGTACCCGTTATGAACTGTATAGTAGTGATAGTAAATATAGCTATAGTAAACATTATTTATGGTTTGAGTATCTTCAGCAATCCATGAATTGCGTGAGATTATGAAACATCTTTCTATGGAACTAGTGCATTCTTGTTCATAGTTCTCGTTGAAATAGCAAACTCTGGTTATGGATATATTTGACCTTTTCATAGTTCTCCAAAGAATGAGATGAGGTCATGTTTACTTTCCTAATTTTGCTCAGGTCTACAACTCTAAATATGACTATACTTGTAAAATCGCCTTGACGATCTCCCCAATTTATGGAGTTTTTATGGCATTGTACATTGGTATTTTCTTATGGTCACATTCATATTTACTTGTCTCCAATAGTTTTATTTATAAGAGATGTTGAGGAGCAAACACTGCATATCTTTACACTTCACATACGAATATACTTTGTGCTTTGCTGCCTAGATTACTGCATCTACTTTTTTGTTAAATTCAATTTCTTGCATAAAATGGGGATAAGTTAACTGAGAGTTTCAGTAGACTAGTACATCACAACCTAGGTAATTTGAAGAATTAGCTACTATGATTCTTTGTTGAAACTTAGGTTTAGTAAAATAGAGTAACCAGATAATAGGTTCTATCAAATGGAAACTGGAGAAGGTACTTCCATAGTCGTATCATTGTTAATTTCGCCCTCAGTATAATATTAGTGTTGAATATATGAAAGATTGCTTTCGATGATTTCAGGTGATTTGAGACAATCAAGATGGCTTTTTCATCAGTTTTCAGGAGAGGAAATGTCAAAGAATTGATCTCAAATGTTTCGGTCTACACTAGCACAGTAGGTAATGGCTTTGGCTTTAGGCAGTCTGAGACTCTTGACTGACTTGAGTCTGTATTTGCGCTATTCTTTGAATGACAAAATATACCTCATTGCAGAGTCATCTGGAGGATTGAGCTTGATTTTTAAGCGTTGGGCCACCAAAAAGACAGCTGGATCAACAAAAAATGGCCGTGACTCTAACCCTAAGTATTTGGGTGTTAAAAAGTTTGGCGGAGAGGTACAATCTTGTGATCTGTCATATGACTTTCATGTTTTTTATTGTTTATGACAGTACAAAGTACTTTCTTTAATCACGTAAAAGTAATCAGACTTCGGAGATTTGTGTGTCCCTTCTGATCCCGTACCTGAACTCCTGAAGCAACTTGTCATTTTTGTTATTAGAACAAAAAGGTGAAAAAGATCTAAACTGTTCCTGAACATCAACATTTGCATCATTTTTTAGAAAGTGGAGCCAGGAAACATCATCGTCCGCCAAAGAGGAACCCGCTTCCATCCTGGGAACTACGTTGGCATGGGGAAGGACCATACTCTCTTCTGTCTGAAAGAAGGACATGTGCGATTCGAGCGCAACAAGCTGACTGGCAGGAAATGGGTTCATGTTGATCCTGTTGCTGGGCATGTGCTCCACCCTGTCTACACCAGTGATTCGACCCCTGCAGCTGAAATGGAGCCATTGTAATGGCTTTACATGGAATGAAGTAACATATGTTGCTAACAGCTTTCGTCCTTGCCTTGAGAGTGACTTCTCTAAAGAAACTTATTGCGATTAAGAGGTTTCTGGGTTGAATTTGCTTGCAATAAGGAACCTAACCATCATGTTCAGAACCCTTTTGTTTTTGGTTCTTGCTGTGGCTTAAAGTTGTTTGTTTTAAGTATCCTTTGTGATTTGTGGCATGAAGGTTGACAAACCTACATGATTTATGAACACACAGAAATTCTAAAAATGTTGCTTGGGCCGGGAAAGTCGAGATGCTTATTTTTCTTCGAAATACCTATGGAATAACCTATGTCACGGGAATTTGAGAGAACTTTGTAGGAGGGTTAATCCTTTGGCTTCAAGAGTTTCATATGATTGTTTTTCATATATGATTTAAAATATTCTGCAATACGTAGGATTTTTATTCGAATTGATTCAGTTTCTGCAAAAGTCATCCAGAATTCGTTTGGTTCAAATGAAGTATTTCTTTGTTGCAATACATACTCTTCCCGCCCAATCACCCAATGATCCAAAGGAATATATGTGTGAGCACTTCCTTTATTGAAGTATAGTATCGGTTGTTTTAATTCCAACTCTTCACATTTTGGAATCTACCCTGGAAATGGCTATTTTGAAAGTTTTACTACTATTTTATTGTCATGTTATAACATTACATAGAAGTTAATTTGTCGGTCACTCCATCATCTTTTTAATAAGTTTTTTAAAAGCTAATAGTTAATTTTTAATAAGTTTTTTAAAAGCTAATACTTAATTAACTGTGTATTAATCTATCGCTTCATTCTGTATGTAGTGTAAGTGTTCTCTACCCTAAAATGATATAAGTACGTCTTAAAACGCCATAGAAAAACTGGTTATCTTTATTACAACCTCTCATCTTTTTGCTTTTGCTTATACTTATAAGCCAAAATTTAAATTTTCAACCTTAAATTTGGAGTTGATTTTGAGGTTTTTCATCAAAATTTATTTTTTAGTTTTTGCTTTTAGATCACTAAGGCCCTGTTCGTTTCTTATGTAAGGAGAGGGTTAAATTGTGAATACTCGTGGCACGCTTTTAAAACTGCTAAACGATGCGTTTCGTGCGAAAACTTTCTATATGAAAGTTGCTCTAAAATATTAGATTAATCTATTTTTTCAGTTTATATAATAATTAAAACTCAATTAATCACATATTATTACCACATCGTTTTGCGTGAAACACTTAATCTTTATCTTCATCTTCAGGAGATTCAAACACCACCTAGAAACACGTATATAAAAGTTTTGTTCACAAATTATTTTTCGTTTGCAAATATGCAATTTTGCTTAGGCTGTGTTTAGTTTATCGCAAAGTTTGGATTTTGGTTGAAATTAGAGATGATGTAACTGAAAAGTTATGTGTGCATGACAGGTTGATATGATGGAAAAGGACTGAAGTTTGGATCTAAACTTTGGATCTAAACACAGCCTTAATCCCCAAATAAACCAAACGATGGGGGCCTTAGTTTCTTCAACATGTTAAAATTAAAAAATATATTTATACAACTATAAACATAAACAAACACACACACACACCACGTTAAAATTCCGAGAGAGAGAGAACCGATGCGAAAAGAGCGATCCCCTCCCGCGTCTTTCAAACGGAGCCGCGCCCCGGATTCCCCTCCATTCCCGGGGGTTTCCAGATTCCCAGCGAGGGAAGAAGCAAGCAAGCAAAAAAAAAAAAAAAAAAAAAAAAAAAAAAAAAAAAAACGGAGGCGAGCGCGAGCGCTGCGCATCCCAGATGGACGGCGGATCGGGTGCCAGCGCCAACCGCCTCGCCGAATCCAGGCCGTCCATTCCTCCGCTCGGTCGGGCGCCCCGCATCCTATTAAGCCTGAGCCCCACCCACCCCCCACCCCCGAACCCTCGCCCTCCTCCTCACCCCGCGCACCCCCTCCACCTCGCCGCCGCCGCCACCGCCGCCGACTCGCCGGGGCTCGCCGCCACCGGTGGTGGGGGGGAGCTCGACCTCCTCGCCCCACGCGCGCGTCCGGACGCCGTCGTTCTGGGCGCGGGAGAGATCCGTCCGTCGCCCCCCGCTGGGCTTGCGCCATCCTCTCGCCGGGTAAGCCCTAGGTTTTTTTTTTTTTTGGTCCGATCGATTCCGCCGCGCTCCTAGCCGCGGGTGAGGCAGGAATCGGGGTGGTTGCGGGGGGCTCGTCGTGCGGTCGAGGGATTTGGTTGTTCCTAGTAGGAGGGGTTGTACTTGTTCATCCCGTCGATCCAGTGGAGGCGCGTGGGAGATCTCGGTTGGGGGTTTCCGTGGGCTCCGTGGGTTGCCGCTCGCGGTGCAGCGGCGGGATGTGGATGGGGATGGGGATGGCGTGGTGGGCCGTAGGTGCGAGCAACCCTAGACGGATTTTTTTTTTGTGGCCATTTTAGGGTTTACGGGAATGGATTTTTTTTTTACCGAACAAGAGATGTACTCTGAAAATTGCTGTCTTTTCGTAGCGAGGGGCCTATAGGATCATTGAAGCCTTAGGGACTTAGGGTTTGGGCTGCTTGCAGCTGTATTTCTCATTTGTAAACATTAGACTTCCGTGTCTGCTGTGGGAGGATGAAAGAATTGACTTGGGAGCTGAGTTCTATTAGGTTCACTGGTTTTGTGGAGTAATGTTTGGAAATAATCTGAGGGAGTATAAGGCTGCTCCATCGCAGTGCCACGTGTAGCATTCGGTTCGAATTTGTCATTTGTGTAATGTTTCTTAGCAGTTACTTTTTATTTTGGAAGTTGGTTCTCCCAAAAAACTTGTGTCCTATCTGGTTTATTTGAAGGTATCTTAGGACAACAAGACGATTAGATGCAAAAGTTGAAAGTAGGGGCATTAACATAAACCTTGTTGGGTGCAGAATATGGTAATTTTATACGTATTAATTGCGTACGTACCGTTTCCACAAAATTGTTCATGTAGTAATAAATAACTGCCAAAGAAAGCTGATGTGACTCCATGAATGAATGTATACTACGCTATATCTGCTGTATTGATTGCTGTAGCAATCCATTCGTTTTCAGTATTGTGTTGGTGCATTGTTTGCAAAAGCAAATCATATTTATTAATTTTTCATTATTGAGTTGCAGCTTGCAAATGTGTATGTATGTACATATTGTGAGAGAAAGTAGGCATGTCTGAACTCTCAGCATGATTATTGTCATAAGAAAAATGTTATCGTTGTTTTTCTCTCTTTTTGGGTAACTGTTTGTGTTTATGGTTATCAGTTCTATATTATAAATTTGTTCAGGCTGGAATTAGGCTGACCAAATCCTTGTTTTGAAATTCGAATTATATTGATATATATCTTGTACGGTCATTGCATTTTTTATTGTTTTGCTTTATAGGCTGGCTTCATTACGTACTCCCTCCGTCCCAAAAAAACTTAACCTAGGCAAGGATGTGACATCTCCTAGCACAATAAATCTGGACAGCCCTTTGTCCAGATTCGTTGTACTAGAAAATGTCACATCCCTTCCTAGGTTTAGTTTTTTTGGGACGGAGGGAGTAAACTTGTCTATGTTAAAGTTTGGAATATCCAAAGGTCCTCAACTAGTATGTGCTATTTTCTTGACCTTAACATGGAACTATACATGACCTTTTTTTTTCCTATTTTACTGAATAAGATGATTGTTTGTTTGCGGTTTCCTAAATGTACTTAACTGTTGGTATTGTTGTGAAGATGTGATGGAATTAGTATTGTGGTATTACATCTATGTGGTAGACAGCTTTTTGGGTTTGCAGGAATGAAGTACATAAATATCTGTTTGGTGCTGTGGTACAACAATGTAAATAGTTTATTGCAGTGACAATGTTGCACTGTTGCATGCATTTTTGTTAGGATCATGGTTGTCTGTTGCCTTGTTATGCCATTAACAAATCTAGAATAAGTGAAGCAGCTTAAAGTTATGTTCTTGTGCTCTTAAGAGCAAACATTTAAGAGGAATAATAGCATTCTGTGTTCAAACTATATTTTAGAACCTTTGCCCTTGCTTAAATAGTTCCTGTACATTAAAATAAACTTGTGAAATAATTCACTAACTAATTATGGATTGATTTGTTTCATGCAGTTCACTGGGTTAATGTGAGCTTCTTGATAAAATATGGCGGATAATGGTAATGCAAAGCCAGGTGGTGGGGGATCTGGAGCTTATACAATCAACCTAGATAACTTCAGTAAGCGGCTGAAGGTGTTCTATGACCATTGGAAAGAGCATAATTCTGATCTATGGGGTTCTTCTAACGCTATTGCAATTGCTACTCCACCCCCGTCTGAAGATCTTCGTTATTTGAAGTCGTCAGCTCTGGACGTCTGGCTACTTGGATATGAATTTCCAGAAACCATAATTGTCTTCATGCACAAGCAAATACATTTCTTATGCAGTCAAAAGAAAGCAAATCTCATTGGCACCCTCAAGAAGGCTGCAAATGATGCTGTTGGTGCTGATATTGTCTTGCATGTGAAAGCTAAGAATGACAGTGGTGTTGGCTTAATGGAGGACATAGTGCGTGCTGTCTGTGCTCAGTCAAAATCAGATGACCCAATTGTTGGTCACATCGCAAAAGAGGCACCTGAGGGTAAGCTCCTTGAAGCTTGGGCAGACAAATTGTCTAGCTCATCTGTGCAACTTACAGATATAACGAATGGCTTCTCTGAGCTTTTTGCTATGAAGGATACCTCAGAGATCACATGTGTGAAGAAGGCCTCCTACCTAACCTCATCTGTAATGAAAAATTTTGTGGTTCCGAAGCTAGAGAAGGTGATTGATGAAGAGAGGAAAGTGACACACTCTTCATTGATGGATGAGACAGAAAAGGCTATTCTTGATCCTCTTAAGGTCAAAGTGAAGTTGAAGGCTGAAAATGTTGACATATGCTATCCTCCTGTATTTCAAAGTGGAGGGAAGTTTGACCTCAAGCCAGGTGCCTCAAGCAATGATGATTATCTTTACTATGACTCTGCAAGTGTTATCATATGTGCAATTGGGGCCAGATATGGAAATTATTGCTCCAATATGGCCAGAACATTTCTGATAGATGCTACTCCTACACAGATCAAGGCGTATGAAACTCTTATGAAAGCTCATGAAGCTGCTCTAGAAGCATTGAAGCCAGGGAATCGGATGAGTGCGGTTTATCAGGCTGCAGTTGACGTTATTGAGAAGAATGCCCCTGAACTACTTCGTAATCTAACGAAGTCTGCTGGTACAGGAATTGGTCTTGAATTCCGAGAGTCTGGCTTAAACTTGAATCCCAAGAATGACCGTATCATAAAAGCAGGAATGGTTTTCAATGTCTCCCTTGGTTTGCATAATCTTCAAGCAGAAAAAAAGAGTGAGAAGACAAAACAATACTCTCTTTTGTTGGCTGATACATGTTTAGTGCCATTGGAGAACTTAACAGCATCATGCTCCAAGCTTGTTAAGGATGTTGCTTATTCGTTTAATGACGAGGATGAAGTTCTTCCTGTCAAAAAGGTGGAGGTTAATGCAAAGGAGGCATTGCCACCAACAAAGGCCACACTTAGGTCAGACAACCAGGAGATGTCCAAGGAAGAGCTCCGGAGACAACACCAGGCTGAACTTGCTCGTCAAAAGAATGAAGAGACTGCTAGAAGGCTTGCTGGGGTTGGCTCTGGTTCTGGTGATGGGCGTGGTCCCTCAAGGTCATCAAATGAGCTTGTTGCATATAAGAATGTTAATGATGTTCCATATGCAAGAGAGTTGGTCATACAAGTAGATCAGAAGAATGAAGCTGTCCTCTTACCTATTTATGGCAGCATGGTTCCTTTCCATGTTTCTACTGTTAAGAGTGTCACAAGTCACCAAGACAACCGCACTTGCACTATCCGCATCTTCTTCAATGTGCCTGGCATGCCATTCTCAAACGATAGCAATCTGAAGTCGCAAGGGGCTATCTACTTGAAGGAGATCACGTTCCGCTCGAAAGATCCACGACATAGCAGTGAAGTTGTTCAGCAAATCAAAACGTTGAGGCGGCAAGTTGCTTCAAGGGAGTCAGAGAGAGCTGAAAGAGCCACCCTTGTTACTCAGGAGAAACTCCAGTTGACAAGCAACAGAAACAAGCCAGTGAGACTTTCTGATGTGTGGATAAGGCCTGCATTTGGTGGACGTGGGCGGAAGCTTACAGGAACTCTTGAGTCCCATGTCAATGGTTTTAGATATTCTACTTCAAGGGCTGATGAGCGTGTGGATATCATGTATGGGAATGTAAAGCATGCCTTCTTCCAGCCAGCAGAAAAAGAAATGATTACACTCCTTCATTTCCATTTGCACAATCATATTATGGTTGGAAACAAGAAGACAAAGGATGTTCAATTTTATGTTGAGGTGATGGATGTTGTTCAGACTCTTGGTGGGAATAGGAGATCAGCTCTTGATCCTGATGAAATTGAAGAAGAGCAGCGTGAGAGGGACCGAAAGAATAGAATAAACATGGATTTCCAGAACTTTGTGAACAAGGTTAATGATCACTGGTCGCAGCCACAATTCAAGGGGCTGGATCTTGAGTTTGATGTCCCTCTTAGAGAGCTTGGATTCCATGGTGTTCCATATAAAGCTTCAGCTTTCATCATTCCAACTTCGACTTGTTTGGTTGAACTAATAGAGACACCCTTCCTGGTGGTGACCCTGAGTGAGATAGAGATTGTTAATTTGGAGAGGGTGGGCTTTGGGACAAAGAACTTTGACATGGCTATCGTGTTCAAGGATTTCAAGAAGGATGTTCTTCGCATTGATTCCATACCATCAACATCACTTGATGCAATAAAGGAGTGGCTTGACACGACTGACCTCAAGTACTATGAGAGCAGGCTGAACCTTAACTGGCGTCCTATTCTGAAAACTATCATCGATGATCCTCAGAAATTCATTGATGACGGTGGCTGGGAATTCTTGAATATGGAAGCAAGTGATTCAGAAACAGAGGAAACAGAGGAATCTGATCAGGGCTACGAGCCTTCTGATGCTGAGCCTGAGTCTGAATCAGAAGATGAAGATTCTGACAGCGAGTCCTTGGTGGAATCAGATGAGGATGATGAGGACGATTCTGAAGAAGACTCTGAGGAAGAGAAGGGTAAGACCTGGGAGGAGCTGGAACGGGAGGCAAGCAATGCAGACAGGGAGAATGGTGCGGAGTCGGACAGCGAAGAAGAGAGGAGGCGGCGCAAGGTGAAGACCTTCAGCAAGTCCCGTCCACCACCGGAGCGCAGCAGCTTCAAGGGAGGACCCTCAAAGAAGCCGAAGTTCAGGTAAATCTAACGGTGCTTCGCCAGGCCTGGCTGCTTCCTGAATGCGCGCCCTTTTTGAGGGGCATGGTGTGCTTGGCTGTAAGCAGAAGCGCTCCTAGCTGTTTCTCTAGATCATTACGACACTTTGTTTCCGTAGTAGCGTACTGCAGTTAGCTGAAAGGGCGGTCGGACTTTGGTGAACTCCATAGTTGATGAAATGAACTGTAAAGACTCTTGCCATCTAGGGGAAACCCAAGTTGATTCATTAGTTGTATCCTCATTGATGTAATGTTTTGTTTCCTGGGTAGAATGTTGACCTCCAGAATGTATAATATTTATGTTGGCGGACGTATCTTGTGCAGATGGCAATGCTGCAGCCTCAGTTGTGTATTTCTGTCAGTTGCGTCTTATAGCTCCGTTCCGTTCTCTCGACAAACGGGTGCTATGTTAGGTTCTGTCAGTGCTCTGAAATGTAATGTGTTTCCTAAAATACGGTGTAGTTTCTGTGGGACAATATTACCATCTTCAATGCGACAACGGTGCATGCAGGAATGTAAATGGATCGGGCAATTGAATTTTATGCTATCACATGTAGCAAATAAATTATCAGGAAGGTTTTTATGGGGGTAGTACTGGGACTGCTCACATCCCTAGATGCAGATTACGGACAAATGCACTTGTCTGCCTGTTGAGATTACAGATTACAACTTTTTTTTTTCATTCGGAGGCTCAAAACTGTTACGACGAGTTGATCTTGATGTCAAATCTTCTTCCCGGACAACCAGTGGCTATAGAACGCAAGCGTCTCCTTGGGCTTGTACTCCGGGACAGTGTGTCCAGCTCCCTGAAACGTCGGCACATGTTGTTAACATCATCAAATAGTACAGCTTCAAAAGCTAACCACAAGCGAAAATAGATGTGTTCATTCCAATGGATTGTTTGTTTAGACAGTTGTGGTTTAGCCTGAACTTGCTAATGCATGACTGAAAACCGTCCAGTGTTTGCTAAAGAAAAAAAAAAAAACACATGTTGAGTGAGCAACATCCTTTTGGTACAGAACATGCAGCTTATCTACTGGAAAAGAAATCTGGTCACTTACCTTTATGGTGAGGAAAGTGAGATTGTGTTCATAACCTTGTGTATATCTGCAATGGCAATATCGCTCTAGTGAGGAAAACTTGTCAAGACATTCTCTCTTAATTTCTTGCTTCCTCAAGTAAAAAAATGTAAACAGAAGTCTTATCTACAATCTGCACATATACTTCTAAAATTCTAGGTAGAAAAGTATGAGTTAAGCTGAACTGAGCTAATATCTAGATGTGACATAACTCCTGAAAAGGTATATGAAGAACTGATGATTCCTATGAAGAAAGGATGAGAACATACCCAGCGACTTGCCCTCCAAAGTACCATGGTCGCCAATGATCAATTACTCGGTATCCCATGGATCTAACCCATGCTTCCGTTCCGACATAGGGAATACAGAGATCATGATCTCCACTACAAAAAACAGAATGATCAGTAGTTGGTTCTCATTTTATTTTTTTCAAAGACAAGCACAAATTTGAATTTTAGGCCTCTTCAGGGTTTCCCAAACCGACGGTAACCGCGCGGTTACCGCGGTTATTGGGCTTACCGCGGGGTACGGTAATATAAATACCGCGGTAACCTCCTTAAATTCAAATAAATTTAAAAAATAATTTGAATTTTTGATAAATTTTGCACGGTTTTGTACGGTTTTTCACGGTTACCGCGCGGTAACCTTACTTACCGTCGGAGCGCGGTAACCCCGGCCCGAGCGGTTTAGGAAACCCTGGGCCTCTTAGGCTGAAGCAAGGTTCAGAAACCGTTGATAATCCCTAACCCATATAAGTTGGATTCCAAACAACCCAACTTGGTACTCCAATTATTTTCAATCCAAATGAGCAATAATTGTAGTACTATTTGTTATTTGTAGCTAAAAATTCTGGCATTCTGCACCAAGGTTATTAATAGGAATTTAATTTAATTTAATGTGTAGCTTTTTTTATAGGAATTTAGCACTTTAAATCACTCAATTTTCAAATTACAATCTTAATGGTCTGTTGCATACCTGTAAATAAGTGCGCGATATCCCATGGCTGTGAACTTCTTGTGGTACTTCACCATGCTGTCTCCAGTATCATGGTAGTACTCTATTCTTGCAGTATACAGTTCCCATGACCCAATTAAGCTTTTCTGATGTGCCATTTTAACAAGGTAGTTCCCCACAAAGAGAAGAAAGTGAGGTGTAAATTTTAAGATAAATTCAAAATGAAACCTTTGGTTCCTCGTCTATCATACCGGTTCCGCGTGAATGGCAGCTCTTACATCTTCATCATCCAGCCATGCATTAGCAAGTTCGTCGCTCTACAAGTACATGGAAATGTTGATTTGTTAAACACATGAAACAAAATGTTTTATCTGTTGACGAAATTAGGCACCCGAATTCTAATAATTTGGAACGAAACACAGCTAAATGTTTGATCTACAAAATCAAAATGATGAAATTTGAGACATATTAAACTACCACTCCAATTTACACACCGTGCAGGGGAGTGATCTACCACCAAGTTCAGGCCACATCGTCATGCGTCCACGAGTCACAGGAGCACGGAGAGGCCAAGAGCGGCCAGCCATTCGCTTTCTCACTGGAAATCGCTTCTCTGTCTCACCTAGCTTTCTAAAACTTGATGGCAAGCTGCTGTTCTTGAACTCTAATTCTTGAATTTCAGGGTGATGGTAGCAGGGAGCAAGGATGTTGTACTTGTTCAGGTCCTTGAGTTCCTGCAGTTGCCAGTAATGGAGCGTTTACCAAATTTGTAGGATTGTGCTACATTGTTTTGTTTACATGTGCTGGCACAGGGAAGTTACCCAATGCACTCTGTCTATCTTTTCTTGGCACAGATTATTAACTTTGCCCCAAAATGTACCATGGCATGCAGTACTTGCATCCTGCAAGAAAGCAACTCAAATCATTTTTTAGCTTTGTTAACTTTCATCAGATTTTTTTCTGTGTTGTCTATCTCCTCTGACATTACCAGTGAGCACAACCCTCGTTTAACATATTCTTTTAGACAGAAGTATTTAGACAGATTCTTTTACTGTTTTGAGGTGAAAGAGCACAAGAGCGGAGGCATTGATTTCTTGACCTCAAACAATTCGGTTGAGATGAGACCCATCCCATGTGCAAACGGCACAAACGAATTGAAATCATAGTCCTGATCAGTTGCTCCATTGCCAATTAGATATCCCTGAAAAATAACCTTTAAATTGTGAGCCCAAAGACAATTTTCGCATGCATGTAGAGTTGTTGTATGACGTCATCTCCCGACAAATGAAAATGGGAGGACCTTAAAATTGATTCTTGGCTTCAGATCCTTTTCTATCCCTGTCAGGACATAAACAACATAAGTAGGAAACTTTTGATAATAATAGTTTCTATATATATTTTTTACTGACAAACTCAACCTTTTACAACTTCATCAGCTAGTGTTGGAATGTAGATCCCTGCAAATGACTCTCCCGACATGTAGAACGGATTTGACTGGAACTCAGGGTATAACTCAAACCACTGCAACAATGCATAGAATCAACATAAAAATTTTCCGAAGTGATATTGATATTATTGCAACCACAGTAGGGAGTAGGTACCTTCAGAAGGAAGGTGTGTGCATCAGCCGCTGTTTTTAGGTCACCTGTCGTGTAATCTGATTTATTCAACGAGTACGACATCCCAACACCAGCAGGGGAGTCGAGGTACACCACGTTGGAAACCTATTTAGTGCCATATTTAATCACTCACTTGATGTTGTATAGATATTTTTTGAGCCAAAAAAGAGTTGATAGAACGTTAAGAGTGACTTAGGTACTGCTCTTTTCTTCAACTCCATCTCATTTTCTGTTAAAACGGTTTTCAAACTGTTAAATGGTGCGCTTTTTGCAAAAAAAAGATTATATATAGAAGTTAGTTAAAAATATCAAATAAATCATTTTTTAAGTTTATAATAGTTACTCCCTCCGTCCAAAAAAACCCAACCTCATACTAGGATGGGACACATCCTAGTACAACGAATCTGGACGTACTAGGATGTGTCCCATCCTATTACTAGGTTGAGTTTTTTTGGACGGAGGGAGTAATACTTAATGCGTTGAAAATCAACCTCCAATAGCATCATCAACAATGCCAATAGCATCATCAACAATGCCCTTATTCTATCCCTAATCCTAATTTTTTGGGTTTTGGTAAAAAAAATGCCTCTAACAGATAACCTATCCTGATCCTAATTTGTTGGAAACCCCATCCCCGCATCCTTCGCTCTCTTCATTTGAGGGAGAGCGACACCGCACCTCCAACCCTAATCTCTCTTTCCCGCGAGGTTTTCTCTTTGTGCGCGAGGAGGGAGATCGCGCACGTGTAGGAGCGATCTTTTTTTTTTGGTGTGCGGGGTCTGTGCAAAAATAAATACTTCGGTTGGTAGTTTAACATAAGAGCCCACTCTTAGTTTTTTAGTTTTTGGAATACTTCACTCAATTAAATTTAGGCTTTCTTTTGGAGAGAGGAGTTTTCTCAGGACTATACACATTCTGTCGGTGATGCTCTCAGCTACCTAATTTCTTCTTTTCTTAAGCTTAGCACACCAAAGCTCAGTGACAACAACCAGACACATGAGACATCCTATGAAATATGCAAAAATAAACACCCCTGCTACGTGACAACTAATTGTGACACAAATAGCGGAACAAAGCATCTGAAGAAACTAGATCAGTTACTACTAGTTGTTTTATCTTTGTAAAGAGTAAAAGGTACTAAAAATTAGCACAAAGACCACAAAGGTGCACACCTAATCCCCCGGGGATTACGGAGAAGAGGTTTCAGAAACAGAGATTAAGGAGCAGAGCAGTGCAGAGCTATCACCTTGGACCAGCTGTAGGGGTTGAGCTCCAGATTTGGGAGGCCACCCGGATCGCTGCCACGCTCGAAATTGAAGGGGCCTGCGCTGAATATGCAAATTAATCCAATGGATTGGATGGAATGGAATGGAGCACTTGAATCCTAATCAATGGCGATTAAATCGATGGTGAACAAGGAGATTGGAGCGCACCGTTCTCGTAGACGAAGCCGTCGAGGCTGGAGCATCCCGGGCCGCCGTTGAGCCAGAGCACGACGGGGTCGGCCGCCGCGTCGCGCTCCGACGTCACCAGGTAGTAGAACAGCCGCCTCCCGCTCCCCTCGTCCACCGTCACGTACCTGCGACGAACACCACGGCGCGTCGTCGGTCAGATGATAAGAGAAGAGAAGAGCGGCGGCGCGCGACACGAGACGCACCCGGAGTAGTGCTTGGAGGGGAAGGCGCCATGGAAGCCCGGGAGGCTGGCGACTAGGTGGCCGTCGGGGGCCGCGACGGCGACGGCGATGGCGATGGCGATGGCGGCTGCGGCGGAGAGCAGCAGCAGCGGCGGCGGCGCGGCGGCGGCGGCGGCGGCGGTGCGAGGCATCGGAAAGGATGATGATTAGGCGAGGCGACGATGGGTCCTTGTTTTCTCTTTGTTGGAGGTTGGTGGGGGGTGTTAAAACTGGAGTATAAAACATTGGCGCCAGCGAACAGTGGAGCCGCACGTGTCAGGTGAGGGGGTGGGGCCCACTGGAGTATCCCGCTGACATCGGCACTGAGTTTGTCTCCAAATAATGTGGCCGGACTAGGGATGAAAACGGGTTAGAATCGGTATATTATTTTATTATTTTTTTCGAAAACGAGCAGAAACGGTCGGGGAATTTCCATATTTACGATGAATTCATCTATTTAGTGCCAACTTCGATACCATGCTGACAGAAATAAAAAAAACAAAATTTTGAAAACGGTAACATCGGTAAAAATAATATTATTATATTAGTTTTGCGAAAACGGTATCGATACGGTCGGGAAATTTCCATACTGTTTTCACCCCTAGGCTGGACTGGCAGGCGCCACCCCGTTTTAACCCCTATATGCAGTACTGTCCCCTGAGAGCAGCTATAATAACAAATTATAAGCCAGATATAAACATATGTCGAGGAGATAAAACAGTAGAGACAAGAGTTGCGTCGCAGTGTGGGGCTATTAAATTGATTGTTCATGATTTGGAGCTAGTAGTTAGCTATACTATTAAACTGGCTCTGATTTTGAGTAGATGATACGGAGCCATGGAGGTCCACGCCCAATGCAAAGTCTGTGTGGCTGGCTGGTTGTCTGGAGCTGTGGTAGAGAGGATTTAATTTCGACGAGTAAATTGTAAGTTGAGCTAATTATTTTTATCGAAGTTTTTATAGTGGAGTATGATCACTCTCTATTTCATGTTTTTAATTAAAGTTAGGAATATTTACCTACCGTTTGTATTTTGGACCGGTTGTCCGCATGTCAGCAAGGATTAGAAGGAAGAAGCTTGGGAGAGATGGGGGCTGAGCTCATCTTTTCCGGCACAGGTAATGTGTTGTTCATGTCCCGTTTAATGCCAGTAGATCAAGCAAAGGCATTAAGAGAGGAGCAAGGTAGCCCCGATCGAGCTAAGGAGAAGTAGTAGCTGAAAGTGTCCTTGTGGAGCAATGGTAGAGCTTAAGCTCTAGGTAAAGGGAAGGGCCAAAGCCGATGTTGATGGTGTGGTGGTGATGGGGAATCAGAGTTGGATGCAAATCCACCGCTGTACTGCACCTGCAGTACGTGTCACTGGCATGTGGGTCCCACCTATTCCGGGCCCATATGTCATTGGCACTTACCGCACATGCATTACAGGAGAGGATCCCAACTCATCAGAGTTAGGCTGTCTTGGATACTCCAACAAGAGTTAGGGTGTGCTTAGTTCACGTTAAAATTGGAAGTTTGGTTGAAATTGGAACGATGTGACGGAAAAGTTGGAAGTTTGTGTGTGTAGGAAAGTTTTGATGTGACGGAAAAGTTGGAAGTGTGAAGAAAAAATTTAGAACTAAACTCGGGCTTAGATGAAATTTTGGATACTCGTGGCACGTTTTTCAAACTGCTAAACTATGCCGTGCGAAAACTTTCTATATGAAAGTTGCTCTAAAATATCATATTAATTCATTTTCAAGTTTGTAATAATTAAAACTCAACTCAATTAACCACACGTTATTATCACATCGTTTTACGTGAAACACTTAATTTTTATCTTTATCTTCATCTTCAGGAGATTCAAACACCACCTTAGAGAAAAATAAACATTGGATAGATGGTTTTTCAGACAAAGACTTCGATTAAAAAAAATCTGGCCTAGCCAGCAATTTACTTAATTTTATTTTGATGAAAATAATGTTATTATTGATTAACACTGGAATGTTTTTTTTTTCGGGGAGGAATGTATTTTTCTATGGCTATGATTTTGTTGCTATCATTATCTTAAAAAAATGATTTTGTTGCTATACGAGAAATTAATAATAAGAAAACACTTTTGGAGATCATGTTAAGTTTAACCGTGCTTTACATTTATAATCGGTGGGGGCAAGGAGGGGTACTGCAGTTAAGGCTTGGCCTTTGGATGGATGGATTTTGGGTGCCAAAAAACCATGGAGGGGTTGCCGGGTTAGGTGTGGGTCAATGATTGATCTGATCGGATCCCATCCCACTAAAAAAATTATTTTCATGTAGCACGTGAGAAATAAATTAAGTGTACTTAGGTGCACCATTTAATTTTAATATTTAATAGTAACTCCGTTGTTGACATCGTAAAATATTTGCAGTCGATCCTCGTAGTTTTAAAACTTCTGTTGATGTAAAAATACCAGGATTTAAAATGTGAAAAATCATATTAAGTAGATTTGCCTTAAAAAATAACTCTTCCATATGTTTTTATAAAAATAAGCTATGACAAATACATAAAAACAACAATATTTTCTTCTATAAAAATAAGAAAATGCAGTGTTAGTATGTCTAAGATTATTTTGTTTTTTTATTTAACAAATAGCATCCAATTAGTAGAGTCTCCAGCAAGACGATGCTACTTAGGAGGATGTTATCACCGGATCCAAGAAGAGATCATCGAAGGGTTCTCATCATGGAAATAGAGACTAAGGTATGAAATTAAAATACACAGTTTTTGTGCTTTCCCCTCTCTTTGTTAAGGAAACAGATCCCCTGACTTTGTGTAGTCTACAGTTATACCACTGACATGTAGACCCTACTTTGATATGGCCCACATATTAGTGGCACAACTCCAAACTGCACAAAGTTAGAGAAGTCTCATCCCTTTGTTACATTTTCTATTTTCCTCTGTTCCAATTTCTTTTGGGGCACATAATCATATAATCCTGTTCTCCTTTCAGAACATACACATTGCTACAGCCATAGCCATCACCATCCTGAGATTCATGATGAATGCAACAAGATATATATGTTCAGAAATCACATGCAAGACCAAATGGCACAGTGTCGTTTTCCATTGATAAGGTACCGTAAGTTGGACGGTTTCTTAAACATTCTTCTGGCTCTTTTGTCAAAAACCACAATAATATGATAAAAAGACTTGGACAAAAAGTTTAACAAAGCCTACAGTTCCATAGAAACTTAATCTGAAACAGAAATAATAGAACAAAAATGATACTTGACATATAAATCTTCGCTATTATTATGAACAAAATGTAATAATACCACAGCACTAGACTGAATTTCTTTAGACTTGCACTAAGCTGATTTGATACTTTACAGAATAACTGAAACAGAGGTCCTAGAACCACTAATTGCAGTGCAGAATAAACCAAGCAACCACTCCCCAACAAGCAAAGTAAACTGGCTCCGTCTTCCCATGCAGAAGAATCATTGCAAGTATAATAAGCTGCACAAATCTTGGGCAAAATGGTTATCCTAATCCATAGACAAGTACGGATTTTATGCTTTCCCTTGCAACTTAAGTAGGCTATCGCAGATTTTTCGAGACACCATCAAGGACAGGCCACTCATCACCTGTTACCAATGCAGTAACGAGATCGGTAAGAGCCCTAGTGCTTGATTTGATGGTCAAGAAAGATTACCACCACCCAGTTCTATGGCATTGGCCAAATCTTTGATTCCTGAACCGGGGGGTTTATTTCTAGCATCTGTATTCAAGAACAGGCAGACAACAGCGCAGTCATCAATTTTTGATGTGGGGAACCGTGTTCTCCATGCACGTTGAGCCGATTCAACAACAAATCGTGCCGCTGAGGCTTCTGACTTGGCTTGGCTGACAATGCTAACAACTTCTGAGTTGGAAAGTACATCCCACACCTACAGTTAATAAAAGAAACAAAACAATCATATATCAAAAATAATCTTCCAACCAAAAGTAAAATTTACTTCTGTGAACAAGCAAGATATATGTTCAAGTAAAATTTGTGCTCAATGGCTCACCCCATCAGTTGCCAACACAACAAATTCATCCTTTTCAGTGATGCGGTGGTAGGAAACATCAGGCATAGAAATTAGACCATAATCCTTTAGACAAAAGTCTCCAAATGCTCTTGCCATGGCCAACCCTGGCATGTTGTACTTCGGAAGCCAAACACGAGCAACATCTGGCTCATCTGGCAGAGAGAATATTCTGCCACTTCGTTCCCTAATTCGTGCAGCTTCACCTGAAAACATGTTTTGCTTCATTTAGGGGAGTAAAAGCAGGAAACAACTATCCGATGTGTACATTTGTAGTCATGCATGCCATTTAGTAATGTAGACACAAAATCTTGATATTACTTATCAAACATAAACTATCATTATTATTATTATTTTAAAATAATTCACAGAAACAAGCCTTTACAACAGATACTGAAGTGTGCCAACAATCTCAGCTATGCAGGAAAAATATCGGAATTGATCATTTCAGAAAAAAAGACTAATGATTTTCATTATATCAACAATTATTTGTAGAAAACTACAATTATTTTTTCGAAGTCCCAATAATTTCCTTTAAAAACGCTTTTCGATGATAGTTACCGAACGCCGGCAGGCATGGCAATGTTATCAGATCCAAAGCACCCAGTCACACCTACTTGACCTTGGGTCACCAGTCAGACCACATTATATTGAACAGGAAAATACCAGCATGTTGGGTTTGAACGGTAAAAAAAACATAACTAAATCCTATGCAGGATGTTAATAGTTTAAAACAATAGAGCTGTTATCTCATTTGGTACATTCGTGTCTATGTTAACCTGTAGGTGTTGGTTTGAACCTTTCTGCATGTCCTTTTTATATTTAGCGCGAAGTTTGGCCAGGTAAATGTTCAACTTCCTATGCCATGTGAAATCCGGTCAGGTCAATCTGATTTGCCTGGGTTCAAGGTTCTACTCAGCTATCCTCATTTAAATCAACATACATAGTCTCTCCTTTTGTGACATTGCATTACTATTTTTGCTCAACACATGTGCACTGTACTAATTAGTTCACAAAGTTCTTCAGGGAGTGATGTTGAACTGAACTTTTATATCATACTGGGATACACTATGTAAATAGAATGCCAAACTTGCTGCATGATGCAAAAATCTGTCATTCTCTAATCAAGCCAGTCCTTGTAGACCAGATGTGACGTGGCAGATCAAATTTGTCACCTTGTGGTTTCAATGTTAAAAGAGGTTTACTTGTAAGATCTTTATTATTTCCAATTTGAATTTTGAATATTTAGTTCCCAAAAGTGTTAAAACAGTATTTAAGAACCAAATTCTTCGGATGCATCAAATTGTTAAAGCCCTGACATTCTGAAAGAGGAAAATGGCAGTGCAAATCATGTTGAGTTTCCACACACAAAATAACAGGTATATAAATGAAGCATGTACCATATAAAAATACTTTTTACTGCAATATCAAAAGGTTTCTTTCATCTTGCCAATTGCCATACCTCCAAAGAAAAAATAAATCACAGTTTCGAACAGACAACAGGTATCAGTAAATCAAAGGCGTGGGACAGACAACTATGAACTATCACATCCCAGATAAATAAACTTATTGCACTGTGAAACTAAATAAACTAATGAAAGATGCATTTTATATTGACACATTGTGAAATCATTTCAGCTGGCTCACCAATTTTTGGTTTTCAGTTCAGCAATTTACAAATGCATCTAGTGTAGAAGCACTGAAATATTAAACTTTTCCTTACATTTGAGGGAATAAGCTAGAGATTTTTCCTATGTAATTTTGCAGTATCCTAAACCTTCTAACAAGGAAGTTTTTACTCTAGCACAGATAGGATGACTGCAAACCTCAGCCACCTCAAACTCTAACCAGCTTAACAAAAAAACTAGCCCGACATTCTAACTTGTTCAGAATATCATTTCCACATGTTCATCTTATATCAAGTAGTTTCATGAAAAACATATATAGTTATAATGGTGTATAAATCTATTTTAAGTGTTTGACGCACTACAATAACTCTGTACCAGAACTTGTTACAGAACAATAGTGCTTCTAGAATTCTTTGTATCAAAATAATCAGCAGTACCCACGATTTCAATTGTACTGGAGGAAAAAAAAGAAACAATCATCATACACTTTTAGAAGAACAGATGAGGAACACAAATACAAAACATACTTGGAAAAACAATCATCATACACTTTTAGAAGAACAGATGAGGAACACAAATACAAAACATACTTGGAATGGTAGGCTTCAGGTCAACTGTCAATTGTACAGCAAAAAACTGGTCATATTCATCTCTAGTTCCCAAGACAGCTCTAGAATCCCCCAAGTTTCCAATCAGGAGATCATGTCCCTGTATAAATAGAAAAGAAAAAAAACAGGTTTCAAAATATCAACTAAAGCTTAACAATAAGAAAAAGGGCATTATCATCATGAAATTCCTAAGTTTTGACACATTTTTACCTGCTTGATCACTGTGACTGCTGTAGTACCACTGAACACAGAGTCAATGGTTTTATGAAACTTAAGATCCCTGTCCATTACATAAAATGCCCTTAATAATGAAGTTCTTAATGCAGCAAACATCTCGGGGTAGTCTCCATTCTCCTCCGTTCCCAGGGGAGTTTCAGTATCTCTATCCATGCGTTCGGTGCCACCACCTTCAGTCATGCTGCTTGTGACAATGTTAGTTGAAGTTTCTTTGTGTCCATCTCTTCCTAAATTTGCACTCAACTTTATAGGGAGGAGATCTCTGACCCTCTTGGACACCAAATGGCCATATGGTCCATGGCCATCAAAAACACCACAAAAAATTGTATCTTCCTTTGAACAGAAATTCTGGAAGTCAAACAAAAAACACCATCAAAATCAACTTTGCGGTGCCTAAAAATGGAATGGTAGAACAGGAAAACTGGAAGTGGATAATTCATATGATTACAGACTATTATCAGGTAGGAATTGATAAATTTATGTAATTTATAGCTGAAAGGAATATCATTCATGGTTTTAATATTACAAAGGCTTCATAGAAAGGAACATCAGATGGTGCATTCCCATGGAGATCTCCAAAAATTTCAACAAACCAGATCACAAAAAAATTGTACTTTCAATTTATTATTTGGCTTTTATAGTATTTTTTTCCATGGTTACTAGATGTAAATATGGAAAAATCAGAAACCATTATCACAATAAAGAAATTGGTAGGGCAGCAAATATGTTGCCATTGCAAAAGTACATGAAAGGAGCTATCATTCTACTAGCTGGCTCACAAAAACAATAGTTGTATGCTACATGGCATGCCAGGTGGTACTTCAGCAAACTGTGGAGACAATAAGGCTCGGTGGGTTCACATCCTCTACAATAATGGTACTATCATTATAGGCACCGACGTGTGGTGCAATGGGAGGGTAGGATCCACATACTAGTGACTGTAATGGTAGTAACATTATGGTAGAGGATCCTCACAACAAAAGGATAATACTAGGTGTTATGGGGCAGAACGATAAGCAAACATTAATTACACAGCAAAAGGATGGCCCAAGAGCTAAACTCAATGTGTAAACAGATAAGAATAAGATCATCCATAAAAAGAAGAAAGGATAAGGATGAGAATCGTGTGGAGCACCTCCCCTGCTAACAAATTTTCTACATAGGGAGAATAATAATTAGGTTGTATTATATTACTATCTGAAACAGTCTCCACCAGCAATATCCAATGGCAATCCATATGGAGACAGAACAAAGTGGTATTCTAATATCAAGAAGTAGGGGAATCAAACATGCATTCTACACCAAGACGACACATGTATGTCCTATGTCAAAGTTGAAAAAAAAATCAATCTGTGTAGGCCAGCTCAAGCATACACAAGAACAACATATATTAAAAAAAAATCGCAGATATATCAGACAGTTCGGGGCTTTCATGTAAACGTTCAATCATCAATCAATCAATCACGAATTAACACGTTTCTCTTTCGCCGGGGGTACGAACAAATTTCACATCACACATCATCTCAAAGAAAGTAAAAAAAAAAATTCACATCACAGAAAACACATGGAAAAGAAGTTATTGGGGATTAATGGGGGATGAAAGAAATAAATTGGGGATTAATGGGGGATGAAAGAAATAATTACCTCCCAGACAAGCATGGCGTCCTGGTTGACGCCCTTGTTGCCCCGCATCGTGTAGAGCGAGGCGGCAGCGGAGGCGCCGTTGGCGGCGATCCGGCCGTCCCTCGGCTCGCGGTCGCGCGGCGAGGAGGAGGAGGACGAGGAGCCCCCGCGGCGGCGCCGCCGCATCGGGCGCGCGGCCCACCTGAAGTCCGCGGGGGGCATGATCTCGGCCGGGGTGGCGACGCCCATCGCCCGGAGCACGCAGTCGAGGAACTCGAGGCAGCATCCTCCTCCTCCTACGCCACCGTACACGCGGCCTCCGTAAGTCGCGTCCCGCGCGAGCGGGCGCGACGGCACAGCCTCTGCTGCTGGTGCTGGTGGTGGTGCCCCCGGCGCATCCTGCAGGCCGGGGGGCCTGCCCCCGGTCACCGCCACCATCTCGCAAATCTTGGAAGAGGAACAGAGGCAAAAGCCAAGAAGGTAGAGCAGGAAGAAGAAGAAGTCGTTGGAAAAGGAAGCGGTGGTGCGGGCGGGGAGTTTATATCCGCGAATTTCGTGTGCTCGCGGCTGTGGACCAGGGACGAATCGGGAGATTTTTTCTTTTCTTTTCTGTTACTTGCGTTGCAACGGATAAAAAAACTTAATGATAATATACGTTTTTCATGCATAACCATATATGACAATCAAAAAATCAAAAAATTGGAATATCTTAAATGCAATAGCCCAATCTCGATGATGGCAAGCTTACGATGTTTGTTTTAAAATAATTGGATTATTCATGTGACAACATACATATAATCTAAAATATTATTTTAATCTTATTATTGCAACCAATGAAATACATATAATCTAAAATATTCTTTTAATCTCATTATTGCAACCAATCAAATCCTACACTGACTCGTATGATCAAGTCCACACAAAATAGAGTCACTGTGCACTTTTCTCTAAATAACAATTAAAATATGTTTATTTTCTAAGATTATTTCCATATAATATGTTATCAAGAATAATAGCTATACTTCACAAAAATAATATGATAATTGTCTACAAAGATGTGCAGGGTCTCCAACATAGGAGAATAGATGATGAAACAAAAGTCGTGTAGGAGATGGAAAAAAATTGATGGAGTCTATCCGACCAAATGTTCATCAACTTAACCTTTTTTCTAACAGTTTTTTCTCATATGCTTTTTTTTTTTACAGAAGATGGAAATATTTTTTTCTCGCGCGTTTTTTTACTGACTACGGAACTTTTTTCTAACGCGTTTTTCTTTTGCGCTTTTTTCTGACATTTTTTTCCTCACGCGTTTTTTAAACCGTTTTTATTTTCTCGCGCATTTTTTTCCTTTTTAATATATGGTAGAAACTTTTTTTAATAGTTACATTAGATTAGATTAGAGATAAAGAAGAGATATAAAAGGACTACTAAAACAATGAATAGAAATTAGACTTTTTTCCACCGCGTTTTTTTCTGCCCTTCTTTATTTTTTTTCTCGTGTATTTTTTTACGAACGGTTTTTTTCGCCACTTTATTAGTGTCGGACCTTTCTAGATATAATAGGATTCGATTTTTTTACCGTGTCACATATAACTCCTTTTTATTTGGAATGAGATATTTTTTTTTCAATTTTTTTCGCCCTTTTTTTACCGCGGCGACGGAGTCGGATTCATTTCGATTTTTCCTTTTTTTTCCCTATTTTTTATCGGACAGATTTTTTTTTCGCCCCTTTTTTTATCCGACTTTTTTGATTTTTTGGCCCAGTTTTTTCGCTTGGCTTTTTTCGCCTTGTCGATTTTTTTACCGTGTCACATTTAATTTCCTTTTCTTTGGAATCAGACAGTTTTTTTAATTTGTTTCGCTCTTTTTTTACCTATTCGTTTCCTTTTTTTCCTTTTTTTTGCCCCATATTTTATTGATCGGACTGATTTGTTTTTTCGCCGGTTTTTTTCGCTCCTTTTTTGGATGGGACATTTTTTTCTTCCGGTTTTTTTTCCTCCCTTTGCTGGATCGGACTTTTTGTTTCGCCCGGTATTTTTCGTTCGGTATTAAAATAAGAGTAGTAGAGATAGAGATTTAAGTAGTAGTACTAACTTGTTTTTTTCTTTTCTTTTATACTCCCTCCGTATATTTTAATGTATGACGCCGTTGACTTTTTAATCAACGTTTGACCATTTGTCTTATTTAAATCTTTTATGCAAATACAAAAATACTTATGTCATACTTACAGAACATTTGATGATAAATTAAGTCACAATAAAATAAATGATAATTACATAAATTTTTGAATAAGACGAAAGGTCAAACGCTTGTTAAAAAATCAACGGCGTCATACATTAAAATACGGAGGGAGTATTTGAGTAGTAATACTAACATGTTTCTTACGTTGTAGCTGGCTATATACCTATATAATCATAAATAAATTATAGAATAATTTGGGATAAAACATTAGATCCGGGAGTTATCTAACTCCTGCATAAAAGAACACAAAATATAATATCAAATTTAATGGGTTGAAAGACGGTAGAGAGTAGGGGTGAAAACGGTACGGAAACGGACGGAAACCGTCTTTATCGTTTTTGTTTTCATATTTTTTTTCGGGAATCAGAATCGGAATCGGAAACACCGGATACGAAAACAGAATCGAATATTATCGAAACAAAAAACGGAGCTAAAACGAACCGGCGCGAATACGGTAACGAAAATTTATCGGAATAAAAAACCTCTCAAACTGATAAATCCAATTGAATAAATTATCTATGTTCAAAAGAGTAATGTTGTTAATAAATCCCAATGTAGGAAAAAAATATTCTTATGTAATTTTAGATTTGCATAACAAATATTTTTGAAAAAGGTAACAGCCAAACACTATGGTATTCGCTATTTAGTGCTTAAAAAAAGAATCCAGGGTATTGCAGTCACAAAATTTCTGATAACTCCGAGACAATTTCCAAAAATTCCGAGAAAATTTTCGGAAAGTTTCCGACCGATTCCGAGTTCCGATGGAAACTGCGCTTATAATTTCCGATTCCATTTGCGAGAAAATATTTCCGAATTCATTTTGGTTTCCGAAAAATTCCAAAAAAATTCTGACCGACAGATTCCGTTTTCGAAAATAGGTCTGGAATCCGGAAAGTTTCCATACCGTTTTCACCCCTAGTAGAGAGTGGTAAGACCCACAGGTCGGTCGAACCAGGGATTTGGTCAAACCGACCTTAGGCCCCCTCATCTCCACTTTTCACGTGGAGGTCCATGGAGAATGGCGATTGTGGGTGAACCGACATCCATAACCGTCATAATTGCCCTATAAAAGGAGGAACTCACTCATTTCTAAAATGCACAATAAAGTGGAGTGCAACTCACTTTTATGAATTAAATTTGAAAATACATATTTTTTTCAATATTTTGCGTTTATATACATGCATAAAAAATATTGGCACAAATATACCTCCTCCGCGTAATGGGGATACGGGATGGAGGCGGTGCCGCTTTTCCATTCCGTGGGACCGGCGGTCGCGCAGGACAGCCGTGCGGCACCGCCTCGCATGGCCTCACTGGAGGGCGGTCCTGCAACACGGCGCTGTGTGACCGGCTCGGTCCCGCGCATCATTGCCGCGCAACCGCCCTGCTCCTGCCCATCTGCGCCGCTAGCTGTGCCTTGATTAATTCTAGACCTAATTGAGGCCAAAATTAACAATATGATTAACCAGCTAGCTTGTACTTTCTCTTAGAAGAATTAAGTTGGCAATGATGGATGGATGGAGCTGAGGAGATCAGGATGGAATAATTAGTAAGCTAAGCTAGTACTCCCTCCGGTTCTATAATAAGCTTTGGACAAGGTTGATGTCAAACTTATATAACTTTGACCATAAATAACTTTAAAAATATTTGGTTTAAAGAAACTAGAACAATATATATAGATTTATCTTTCAAAACATATATAGTAAAAGTTAACATGCATTTATTAATTTTATATATTATAATAGAAAAATAAGGTCAAACATATATTTTGTAGACTGTGTCATTGTTCAAAACGTCAATTAAAATAAAACCGGAGGGAGTACCTATATATTGTGGGGTTTGGCTAGATCAACTGCGTGCATGCGTGCTTGAGAGGTGATGCTTTGCATGGCTCGCGTCGACCGCGACACGCGCACGCGCGGGACGGGACGGGAAGCATGGTCCCGCGCCACGGCGCCACGCGACCTGCTCGGTCCCGCGTGCAGCCGCCCTCTACCACGCTACCGCTCTCCTGGGCTGCGGGAGTGAGGCGGTGTCGCACAGCCATCCTGCAGGACTGCCGGTCCCATGGAATGGAAGCGCGGCACCGTTTCGGTCCTGCGTCCCCATCGTGCGGAGAGGTATATTTGTGCAAATATTTTCTATGCAGGTATATAAACGCAAAATATTGAAAAAAAATGTATATTTTCAAATTTAATTTTCACTTTTATATCTTAGGCATCAATTTAATAGTATGGTGAAAATAGATAGAGAGTGAAGGCAACGTCCGAATACCTCAGTGAATGCTTCTTTAATAAAGTACTATGTCATCTTTGAACTTAGTTCATCCTCGTATATTTTCTTTTATTTTATTCCCTCCTCTTCTTGCCTACCATAGAGCATCAATCTATTCAAAACCTTCCTGTTACAAGGGGCGTGTTTTGTGAGCCACTTTTTTCTTCAAAACCCATATCCGTTCATCTGGCTATAAAGTCTATCCTGGCTTTAAAAACAGGTCATATGGAAAAAAAACTATTAGCTGCTAGTGTGTATGCAGAGAAATATTGATCAATTTATATTCGTTATTTCAAAATTAAAATTAAAAAACATAATTTTCATAGTGAGCATCACTACCGGAGAAATCATTTTTGTTGGTTGCCTAAAATACACAATAATCCCGGTTCATTAAAAACTGGGGATAAAAATATTTTTAGTCACAGTTTATAAGTGTAAGGGGACTATGCTATCTTTAGTCCTGGTTCACCTTGTGTTAGAGGCTATCAGATCCCCGGAGATCTTTACTCCTGGTTGGTAACATCAACCGGGACTAAAATCCTAACTTTAGTCCCGGTTGTTGTTCCCAACCGGAACTAAACATCAATATACGTATATAATCCTTTGCTCTTATCCTTAAAAGTTAATTTCCATCTCTTATTCCTCCTCCTCTCTCTCACACACTCTTATCCTCTTCTTATCTTCCTATTCCTCCTTCTCTCTAGTCTCTCACAGTCTTATCCTCTCGGTAGCGCCTGATGAGGACATAACTAGCTCGGATATAATCATGACTACCTTATATATTAATCAACCAAAGGTGTATATATTCTACATTGGATTTACTTGTTATATATTTGAATAAACGTTGCTACACAATGAGTTTTGTGTGTTTTCGTTTGTAGAGGTACTTGCTTAGGTGAAGGAAAATATATTAAGCACTCGAATTTGGGGTTCCACAAACCGATCTAGCGGCGAAACTGTTTTTGACAGATTAATCTAAGCAAAACCTGACT